GCTGCACGGCGGCTTGGTGGTTAGCACCATCGCCTCACAGCTAGAAGGTCCCTGGTTCTGGTCCTGGTAAGGACACCTGGGATCTTTCTGCGTGGAGTTTGTACGTTCTCCCTGTGCAGCATGGGTTCTCCAGCTTCCTCCCACAGTCCAAAAACATGCTGAGGTTAATTGGCTATTCTAAATTGTCCCTAAGTGTGATTTGATTGTGCTTGGTTGTCTCTCTGTGTAGCTCTGTGATAGACTAGCAACCTGCCTTCCCCCTGAGTCAGCTGGGATAGGCTCCAGCCCCCCGTGACCCTAGTGAGGATTAAGCGGTGTATAGATGATGGATGAATGTTCCAGAAACTGATTCTGTAGTAGAATAATGACACCGAGAGTCCCACCCTGCAAGTTGACAGGATTGGTTCCTTAGATTTGTTATGTATGAAACCCTGGAAGTCTGAACCTGTGTTTTTGAGACAAGGCGCAACTTATTATTTAGCTCATTATATGACTATATCTTTAAAAAAAAACAAAAAAAACGCTGTTTGGACATTTTAACAAGGCAAAAAACAAGTCTTTTAGGCCAGCTGTTCAGTAGCTGACTACACATTTTAAATTCTGAAGGATTTACTGGAAAACCATGCTGAGGAATATATTTGCTTTTATCATTTGTGTTGTCCCACTTTGAAATTGGACTGGTTATAATAAGCTGTGTAGAAAAGTAATTAAAATCTGTGCTTTCCAAACTGTAAGTGAACCCACTGAACCTCTGCATTACTTGATCATTTGTGTCTTAAAAAAGTGTTTTATCAGATAGGAGCCGGGCCTATCGACTTTTTTTTTTCTTTTTTTTAACTGGCAGCAGACCATCTGGGTAGCAGTAGACTAATGGAGCTGCTCAGTCCACTGTGGAAGATTGGCCAAAGCCCCAAAACGACCTCCAAATTGTGTGCTGACCTTGTGGATGCAGCCTCAGAGCTCATCTCATCACGGTTAAGTTGATCGATGGTGCAGCTAAAGGCGCCTGACGACAGCAAAGCCTCACCGATCATCAAGATTTTCTTTTTTTCTTTTTCTCTAACAAGGATGCGTCCCACATTTACCCACGATCACTCACAACCACTTTGAAGAACTTCGATTTATGACAGCCTTAGTCGCACAAACAACATCTGCAGAATCTTTTCATTCCAACATGTGACATCCATCATGCTCCAAAGGCGAAGTGACGCCTCATATTTCTGACATTCGGCTGACATTTTGTCGCATGGCGTCCATATGTTGAAGATGAAGTCTTATGTTGACACATTGATTATAGCCAATTAAGGCTTTAATTAGCTTAATGAATGACCTCATTAGTGCATCTCATTAACATAGGACTGTCATGACGATTTTTATGGTATATGAAGCTGTTCATGTGAGGCTTCCTCGACGCTTATCCGTGCAATAAAAATGATAGGCAACCACAGAAATGCAAGTGATATTTGAACAGTAACGCACATTGAAAATTTTCTTTGTGTTATTTTGCTCTCATAAGGTGAGCACCATGTTCTGAAATGGTTGTTTTTGTGGTTGTCTAAAAGAGGCTGTTGAAGTCAATGAACAACTAGGAAGTAAAGAGACTCCAGAAGAGTCTCAGAAATAACTAAACCATTGTCATGGCTTAGATGTTAGCAAACAAATATGTCTTTACAGACAGATGATGGCCAAAAGACTCAGCAATACCGATACAAACAAGACTTAACCAGCAAGCAAGAAAATGAAAAGGCTAACAGAGGTTTAAAACTGTGTACAGGTCTAGCATTGAGTGTTCTGTCTCACTGAGCTTGGAACAGCAAGCTACTTTGACATTACAAACAGTCTGTTGATTTAATGGCATTTTTGGCATTTGATATGTTTTGCCCTTAACGTCAAAACTCTAAATTGGAATTTTAGCAACTTCTTTCCACCACTTCACTAAATGCATGTGATGCAAGGTAATTTATGAGGTAGGTAAGCCTTTTGAGATGAAAATTTCATTTTGTTGAGTTGGGTTGACGTATTAATGTTGGTAATTCCACTAATTTAATATCGTGTGTTCATTAAACTTAAAATTTCTGCATTAGTTGATTTAAAACTAAATTCAAGTTGAAATAATTTGATGAAATTAGCTGGATAACTACATTTTACAGGATTTCAAGTCCCTTTCTACTTAACACCAGTTGGAGCAGCTTTATTTTGTTAAGACATCATCTGATTGAACATTAATTAATCTTAATTTAAAATACATTTGATCGCAGAGGAAAAGCTAAAGGCCCCAACACAATGTGGTTTGTTGGTTGAACTTAACATCATTTGAAGCTGTCAAAACTCAAAAAGATTGATTCAGACTGTTGCGTTATGTTCTTCTGTTGCATCCAAACGTTATTTTTTAGTTTAAAGTACCGTGTTCTGACAATGAATGGAAGCTACTGTGCATTTAAAATCCAAAAAGCTGCTCAGTGACTACTCTACTCGCAATCATGCGTTCTTCCTTGTGATTCACTTTTCCATTTATCATCGATCTCCTCTTCTATTGTTCTTGTCTCTTTGTTATCTCCTGGACTCAGTTTCTCAGGTGCTGCCTTAAAAGTCTTTAAACCTGCAGATTTAACTGAAAGCTTTTTTTTTTTTTTCTGTCTGCCTGAATTTAAAAAAAAAACAAAAAAAAAACCCTGTTTCTTAAGGAGGATGGCGGTCTGTGCAGGTCTCCAAGCGCTCTTCCGTCTGTCTGTGGTTGTGGTTGGTGTAATTATTTATTTATTTTCTTTGTTGCAGTAGAGTCGACGTGTTATGTTGAATCGAAATTATAAATATCGAAATTTATAAAACTGTGAAATGCTAAAATAAAGTTTCATGTGAAATGCTTGAATGTGACCCTTATTCGTGCAGGTCAGGCTTCGTTGTAAAAGCAGACAAGGGCAGATGAGAATGGCAGCACAGTTTAAACTACAGACAGAATGCAGGAACAGTTTCCTATTCACCTGGATCAACAGCTGAACTCAGTCAAGGTGGGACAGAAATACTGATTTATGCTTCTTTTTTTGTTTTTTCTGAATAATACAAATTTTCCCAGAATGTGGTTTGACTTTTTTCAGTCATTTAAACCTGCAGAGTGAAACTTTCCTTCTTAGCGGTGAGATTAATCCCACAAACTCTGTCGATGCCTCCTGGGTTATTTGTTCCTAATTTCTACCCGATAATGGAGCCACAGCTCCTCTCTGCAGCTCTGGCAAACCAGTCTTTGCTGGTAAAACATCACTATTAATGCATTGGCACGGAAGTGTTGCCACAGAAACCAGATTTTAAAACTCCACTATATTGTGAAATACAGAGAGAAAAACCAGGAGCTAATGGACTTCATCAGCATTGTGTCGACTCAATTGGCTTGAATGTGATTTCCATTAGTTTAGCAATAGAAAGACCTGCACAATAGATGTAGTTGTAGAAAACAACAGCACAAACACTCATTTGCAGCACTGACTAAAACATAAAAATCAAATTTAAGAGGAACACTTCATGTGAATATGGTCACATTTTTAACATATCACAATGAGTTTTTCCATGTTATATTTAAATATGTTTTTAGGAATAAAATGTTCCATGAATCAGGCTGTGAATGATGTATGAGTGAATATCTCTGTAAAAAAGAATATAGGCAGAAATAAAGCCAGACAGTTTGGTGTCTGTAAGAGCTGCTGACATAACTCACAGTAGCAGGAAAAACTCATTTTTAATAAACTGCCTTTAAAGATGTATTTTAAAATTTCATTGCAGAAATTTCATCTAGTTAGACTTACATCCAGCCAGTGTTTTTTTGATGTGACGAGTTTTCCAAAATGTTATATTTAAATATGCAATTGAGGCATTGATTCATTAAATATGTGCTCATTTGCATGAATGCCTAAGAGATCAAATGTAATAAATACCCTTTGAAAGTTTTCTTGCCACTAGTCTAAGAAAATTGACATGTTATGGAAGCCAAATATACCAAAACCTCTGTTTTGCCTGGAGTATACCGCCTTAATAAATTAAACTGACAAAACAACACATCAAAAGCACATTTGACTGATTGTCATATTAAGCTGAACTGTGTTTTGACAAGGCGACAGGATTTCTTTTATCTACCTGTGGTTTCTTGCGAATTGCTTTTTCTATTATCTTGTAAAGAGTAGTTTTCTCTGGATAACTCGTAATGAAATGAAATATATTTCAGGCATTTTAATTAGCACTCTGTGGACGTCGCTTGTTTCATTTTGGAAGAAAATCTTTCTCGGTGCCATGGATTCTAAGCAATATAAAGTAAAACTACATGGCATAATAGATGTCTTATTTAAGTCTGACAAAAAAGTGTGATGCTCAAAAACCTTCCCTCATTTCAGTCAGGTGTCACTTTCTTACGCATGTTAAGCAGCGTCTCCTGTTAGCTTTGGCATTAGAACAATTTACAGGACGAGATATGTGAGCAACAAGAGGACAAACAGAGGACAGATGATTATCAGAGCAATTAGGGGCATCAGGGTCTTGATCGCTCGAATGTCAGAGTGAATCGTCCTCTGCAGCAGCTGGAGCTTGATGCTTTTAAAACAGATGACGTTGAAAATAATGCTAATGCTTCAATCCTCTTGTTTTTATGCATCTGGAAGCCACACAGTTTTAAAGTACATCGTTCTGTGCTTTTGGCCTTGTTGGCTCACTTAGCGTCATTCAGAGTCATGACAGATCTTATTGAACTTATATCTTATTTCCAGTATTTTCTGTCATGGTTTGAGCTGTGAAACACACGTTACTGTAATTTACATGTTCACATAAAGTCACTAAGGCATGTAGCTTTAACTTCATGAACCCCTAAAGCTTGCAGGCAGATATGGAAAGCATGTTGTCTTTTTTAAAAGAAATCACCAAAATGGCAGCATTTAACATTTAAACAGAAGGAATTTTCAGATTTTCAGCTTCCACGTGGTCTTTGAACTTGTCATCTGTGACATGGTGGGAAAAGAACTAAATCTAAGCTTAAAAATAAATGTAAAAAAAAAAAAATTAAAAAGCACTTTATTTTGCATGTTGCATTTACAATTTACAAAAAAAAGAAACAAAAACCAAACTGCTCTAACCAGATTCTGTAAAACGCAAAAACATCTGCACCCCTTGACCCAATCTTAGGAGCCGTCACATGACAACATTTAGGAGCATTTCAACTGAACTGCACACAGCAGAATGAAGGCAAATATGGAGACAAATTAAACATTTGAGTAGTAAAATATCTATAATATGAAAAAGCCCCTGCACACAAGACATTTTTGAGTTCTCTCTCCTTCTTCATGTGTTTTTTCCACAGAGGTGCAGGACTTTAAACTGCAGTGAATAACTCTTTGAGTTTGAACAGACAAGGGCACTTTTCTGCCTCTAGACAATGATTAAGTCTCAACATGGCCCAGTTTAATGAATGTGGCGATCAGAACAGTTCAAGTGTTTTAGTGGAACTGATGACTACAAGAAAAGTACCACAGCTCTGTGAAGAAAGCCTAAATGGAGTTTAAAAAGCATTAATGAAGCCATGTTGTATAGAGCAGTGATTCTCAGCTGGTGGGTTGCGGACCTGTTCTGGGCGGGTCGCAGACGGCTGGTCAAAAATAAGTGAATAAATAATATATATTGTGCGTCTCAGGTCAAACTTGTTTTTTTATTTTGACAGGTATTGTAGTCACAGTTTGTTTGACGTTCATTTTAAGTTTGTGTTGATGTTGGGATGCAAGATGGCAAAGCACAAATATGACCCGAAATATATTTTCGTACATTGAGGATAAAAGGGACACAATGTGATCAGACGCTGAGAAAGGGATGTGGGGAGGTCAGCCTTTCCTACTTGTGGTGCAGCGATGTGATGGCTGAGTGTCCATCCCTCACCACTCTTGCAGTTAAAACAATCTTACCATTCAGCTCAACCTGTTGGTGTGACAGTGACTTCTCTACCTTGGTCCAGCTCAGATCACAGCAGAGAAACAGGTTGGACACTGAGCATGATCTGAGTGCAGCTCTGTCTACTGTCACCCCAGACTCTGAAACTCTCATCAAGGAGTAGAGCACGTGCCCAACTGTCTCATTGACTTCAGCAAATGACCTGATTAGGCCAAAACTTTATTTTCAAGTAGTTTTGATATTTATTTTGTGCACTTTTGTGCATGCAGTTGTCATGGTCCAGTTACTATGCATGGTTATATGAAATGCGTGTTGCACAGGAAAATATATTGAGTTATGTTTTTAAAAAGATGATATATGCATGCTTTCAACATCTATTTTTGAAAAATAAATTTGCTTGGTTGAATTCTAAAAACGTGTGTCGCAGCTTAGTGACCTTGGGAAAATGTGGGTCCCAGGGTGAGACCAGTTGAGAACCCCTGAGGTAGAGGAGTTGTGATGGTTGGTGGACTGGCTGCATTATCTCACTGAACATACACAGTTGCTCTTATGAAATGTATGACCTTGACTGTGTGGACATTTTTTTCTGTTTCTTCTTATAAAATGTTGTTTTCAGGG